TGGAGATACTGCTTAACATCCCTAACGAATGCACGCGTACTAACCGCCGCAGCACGACCTAAATCACGAGTTCGAGGGTCGGTAGAAAAATTCAACCTAGGTACTGGGACGGAAAGTCTAAGTACCTCGACGTCCTGCACCGGTAAGGATGCAGCAGCCGTGGGAGCCCTTTCTGCGCCGCCAGCGCCGTGTGCGGAGGAGGCTACAAGCAACGGCGGTGGCGGAACAGCGGCGATAGGTGTGGGATCCTGTGCTACAGGAGGCACTGGGATAGCGGCAGGGTTAATAGGAACTACCGGGGCAGCGATAGGGACTGTCCGTGCGGGACCACCCTCAACGACTACATCCGGCGGACCCCAGCGATTTCGCCTAACCCCATCCGCTACGTTCCAGGAAGGGGGAACTACACTTAAAGCTCCCTGCTGACCATCCCCGAGGACAGGTAGAGGCGCGTTTCCGGAGTTGGCAGGCAACATGACTAAGCGATCCAACCCGAAAAGCGAAGTAAAAGAGGTAGCTAAGGTAACCCTACCGAAAAGTAAGACTTCCTCAGCACAGCGATGGACTGCCTCGATTGCTTGCAATGCACCACGGGAGAGGTGCACAAGCTCGCGCAAGCGAGGGATCGCAGCAGAGGTAGGGATAGCAGAACCCGCTACGACGAGAGGGCCTGCAAATCTAAAAACAGTTAGGGGAGCGAAATCTAAGGTTACTTCACTAAAAGGTAGGACGAATCTACCAACCCGCGGATGCGGCGGCAGCCATCACCGCATTGCCGAGGTCAGCAGCGAAAGTCGCCAAGGGGCCGAAATCTTCCGAATCAGCCGATGTAACCTCTTCACTAGGGAAGTTCATACTAGTGCCAAATGAAAGAAAGAGTGCGGAAGCGGAGATGAGACTGGTCCGTAAGGAACCCGTCTCGATACCAGATTTGTTGTAGAGTTCAGACGACACAACCACATAATGGGGGCATCGAAAGATACCGATTGAGACAAGTGTCTTGAATAAGTAGTCATCAGTGACTCCACTTGGGCCTCGCGCCGATAAGGATTCCCAGTACGACTGGGCGGCGCCGAATCCAGAAGCCATAGTTCGCAGGAACTACTCTCGCTCGGTCAGACGAAACTGGGACGCAGGTCCCAGCTTTACGTAAGTAAAACCCCCGCCCATACGTAGGTATGGACTTCCGCAGTGGTGCGGCATTAAGGTGGCGGACGACTAACAGTAGTCGCTTAGCCGCCGTCGCCCATACACTTCCGCAGCAGTGCGGCACTTGAATGGCGGACGACTAACAGTAGTCGTTTGATCCGCCGGCGCCTATGGACTTCCGCAACAGTGCGGCATTTGGATGGCGGACGACTAACAGTAGTCGCTTAGCCGCCGTCGCCCATGCACTTCCGCAACAGTGCGGCACTTGAATGGCGGATGACTAACAGTAGTCGTTTGATCCGCCGGCGCCCATGGACTTCCGCAACAGTGCGGCATTTAGATGGCGGACGACTAACAGTAGTCGCTTAGCCGCCGCAGCTAACAGTAGCCGCAATTAAACTAATATCAGTATTAGTTAATACCTGTAATCACCAACCGCGGAATTGACGGGAGTTAGTTAGTAATATTGGAGTTTGGTAAATCGGAGTGGACGAGCTAACCACCGACAGTTAGGATTCGGCGCCCAAACCGTTGCAGGAAAACCTTTACAGGATACAACAGAAATTGGCGAATTGGAATACATGCGAGTTGCATGACGGTGATGTGCGGCGACATGTGCAGCAGGCTGAGCGGTCCACTGAGGAGTTGGCTAGTGTAACTAGTGTAACTAGATGATAAGATGCCCCGAAATACCGGGGAAGGCAGGGTCTAGATCTGCCGGGTAGCGTTTCCGCAGGGTGAAGATATGACCCCCCTGTCCCACACATCATTCGGTGCACACAGCCTGGCCATTATAAAAAGATTATCCTAATGTGTGCAATCGGCCCAGAAGCCTCTCAACCTGTAACGGTCAACTAACATAAAACTGCAGCTGGCAAGCAAAGCTGTGTCTGGCCCATGACCGTAAGCTACTGCGGGCTCTGGGGGCTCTAGCCAGCACTACCAACGAATTTCATTCTCACCCGAAGCACTTGACTTTGCCGTACAGCGCCACGCATGTGTGATTCTCCCCCGCCGCCACAATGAGGGAGTCTGTAGGTGCTGTGGGCGGGTGCAATGGAGCGGTAGGAATACGGAAGCAATCGAAATGTGAGAAGACAGCTATCACGCAAGGAGGTTGGCGGCATGGGTACTACTGGGTACGCTAAGGGTGAGGGCCTATCTAGAAAGACTGGGTCGACTCACCGGGTATTAGCTAGCTAGCAGGCTATTGCTATTCCTATTAATATTGCTATTGTTATCATTTATCATTTATATTATTAGTAGTATAAGCATTATTATTATTATCATTATCATTATATATTATTTTTAGGATTATTAGTATTGTAGTGTTGATGGGGTGTTACACTGTGGGCGGCTCGCCCGATAAAGAACGAGCACCGGGGGCCCTGACCGGGCCGAAACACAGCGCAGGGATGGGCGCGCGGCTTTACGTCCGTCTGTTCCTCCGCGTGCGCCTCGATCCCTCACTCACGCCAACCGGGACACTCTCCCAGCCCCTGGCTAGGCAACACAGCGGCGCAGAAGACTGCGAACCGATCTATGCGAGAGCCGCACGAAAGGCGCCACTTCGCCTGGCCTGCCTATTCACGCGCTCTCGTCCCTCTTGACCGCCAAAACAAGAACAAAAAGAAAACACCACCGGGGGCAGGGGCTCTACTCAGGGGGCTCCTCTACACACTCAACAAAAACCAGGGCCCCACGCAGCCAGCAAGGCAAGAGATACACAGAGGACCACGGGCCTGAGACGACACACCACAAAAACCGAGATACGGATGCACAGAGAAGACCAACACAAAGCGGGTACTCGCACACTGGTCCTCGAAGGCCAGCTGTTCAATTACCACGAGCAACGAACAACGAACACTTCCCGAGGGTGGCCACCACTACCTCGCCGGTCCACTCACAAACGAGGCGAAACTGGTCCGCACGTCAGTCTCCTCCTGGGGGTTGCGGGCTCTCGGATGCAGCCCAGCGCGAGACACAGCAAAAACACCTATAGCCGCGGGGGGGATGACATGCCAGCACGGCGCCCCCCTATAAAGCCCGGAGAAGGCACGGCTCACAGACGCCGCCTGCTCCCGCTTACCACACCGAAATCCCTCCCCTCCTGACCCTGACCGGCCGGGACCAGCAACACCTGTTCTCCACCTCTAAACCACTCTCCTCCACAGCTTTCCCACCTCCTCTCCACTCCCGCAAGGCACCTGTAGTGTTATTAGGCCTGTTTTGTTTGTTAGGGTTAGTGTTGATGTTATTATCATTAGGACTATAAGAATTGTTTTTATTAGTACATTAGGATTATTAAATGTATTAGTATTATTGTTGTTACTATTATTAGTATTATTTAGTTAGTATTGTAATCATTTTACTAATTTATTATTATTATTATTATTATTATTATATCCTTAGCTAGCTAGCTAGCTGGCTAGCTGTTCACAGCTCGGAAACGCCGGCAACCTATCTCTACTACAAATTAAGAAATGCAGCAGCGCTTTCTTCCTAACTAACAGCGGTTCAGCAAGGCATTAATATATCAGGGCTAGGTGGAAGCAACACAACAACCGCCCGGGGGGAAGCTACCAGTGTTTTTTTTTTTTAAGTAATATATTACTTTTAAGGAATAAAGAGGCCTTTTTGGCCTTTGGAAATAAGGAACAAAGTGAGGCCGATCCGTACATTTTCATTCCTTCAGCCAAAAACGTCCATTGCTGCCAGATTGCTCCGTAGTGTGCAGAATTTAGTATTATCGATCATAAAATAGATATGAGGGGCCGTAAGAAGGTCAAGCCCGTGAGTCAACGCGGCATAGCAGAATGTATGACCGGTCGTTCCATAGACAAACACGCAAAAGGCAACGACTTGAACGCCGAACAAACACAAAAACAGCAAGATAAGTCTGAAATTTTTCCTGATAAAGGCGTTTGGGACGGCGGTGAGGAGGAGGAGAAGCTGTATAACACACTACGGGACGCACGCCTGTATGTCTCAATGCACGCGCTGATGCCCGCCCTGGTCACCATCGACATATTCATCAAGCTTTGCCAGAGCCGTGGGCTGTATATTGGTGAGCTGGCCAAGGCGCTTCAGCGCACCAAGGATCGGCTGCGTGAGATGTACCTCAGGCCGGAGACCCGCTACACCACCGTGGAGTTTGGGGACTTCAAGGAGCTGCTGTCAGTCGATGGAGACATCAAGGGCACCGCCTGGGTGTTCAATCCCGACACGCCGGGGGAGGAGGGGATCGGACTGATGTGTGGCAGCAGCGGCTTCTACCCCTTCACCGCTGATCCTCCTCGCACTGGCCGAGACCGCACACCACCGCCTTTGACACCGGACCGCCTGGCCCAGGTCGTGAAGTCGGTGCAGGCAGACATGTCAGCCGCGGTCGAGGAGCTGATAGGTGAGCTGTCTTCGCGGTTTCCCCCACATCCACTGCTGGAGGCGGCGTCGATTGTCTACAGTGAGTACTGGGAGAACAGGCCCACGGCAGCCGACTTCAAGGCGAAGCTGAAGATCCTCAAGGATTACTACTGCCGTGAGCGGGTGGGCGCCAACTCCAGCAAGGTGCCACCGATGCTGGACAGCGCCTTGCTGGACGAACAGGCGAACTTGTTCGCCTCCAGCATGAATCAGCTCGCCGCACAGCAGCGCCTCAGGCGGGCGCGAGAGCAGACCGAGCGGCAGAGGCAGCAGGCGGCAGCAGTGGACCTAGATGCGCCCACATCCAAGCGTGAGCACCGGGTGCTGCTCGATGACACACCCACAGCACGGGTGTGGCAGGCCATCAGCAACTGTGCGGTCCTCGCCGGCGGCTTAACGGAGTATTCGGCTTTGGCCCAGCTGGTGTTAGTGATGGTGCCAGGGTCGGTGGAGGATGAGCGGCGGTTCTCGGCCATGGGGTACTTGCAGGACCCCACCCGCAACCGCCTGGACGAGCACCTAGCATTGTGTGTGCGGATGTTTACCCAGGACCTGTTCGACCTGGGCACGTTCCCGTTCCGTGACGCACTGAGGAAGTGGCTGGACAGCAGCAGCAGGGGCCGGTACATGATGAACCGGTAGAGTCCTAGTGTGCTGTGGTTTGCAGTGGCGGGTGACGGCCTGTGATTTGCTATGCGGTTGCTCGCTTTGGGCCTTTGCTTGGTCGGATTTACTTTTTGTTCACAAACAGTGCCAGAACTATCTATGCATGTGCATGAAGAGTGCGCACATGAACGAAAACGCGCCAACGCAGTGTGTGCCTCTTGGTCTATGAGGGGAGTTGTAACTTATCGGGGGGGGGCCTGGG